TCAAAAGGCAGCAACAGGGCTGGCCTCACTGCTCATGGTGACCTAGATGTGACTGAGCTGAGATTGCCTCAGTCGCCTTGCTTGAGACCTAGGCTGCTGGAGGTGCGCTGATGGGGGGACTAAGCCCTGTTGCTGTAGCTTGGGACCATTCCAGGTCACTGGGGGGCTAGCAGAAGGTCTGGGCAGCTTGGCTGCCTACTGCAAGCTTAGCAAGGCCCCTTGTCTCCCCAGGGGCCTTCCACTGTGCGAATGGAGTCACTTGTGTTGAGGCTGGAGAGCGCTGCAATGGGGCCCGATGCCTCAGATGAGGTGGGCTGCTGGACCCCCTCTCGGGAGTGCGCCCTGCGCTGTGATGCTGCCACCCGCTGCGTCCCCGAGAGCTGGCTGTGCGACGGCCACGCCGACTGCCTGGACCGCACCGACGAGCAGGGCTGCGGTGAGACCCTGGGGCTGGGTGGGACAGGGCTTTTGGGGCGTGCCTTGCCCCACAGGTGGGTGCACCAGGTTTCCTGTGGGTCCATGAGCCTGCACTGTCCAGGGCAACCTGCTTAGCAGCTGGAGGGGCTGTACCCTGCTCAGTGCCATGCCTGCGCTGGCGGGATGGGGCTGGGGAGGGTACCCTCGCTCAGCCCTGGCCCTGCCTGCAGTGCCAAAGGAGTGCAGTCCAGCCGAGTTCTCCTGCCGGAGCGGGCAGTGCGTGGCCCTGGCTCTGCACTGCGACGGTGACAGTGACTGCCAGGATGGCTCGGACGAGGAGGGCTGCGCTGTTCCCCGGCCGCTGCTCTGCCGCGCGGGCGAGGTGGCGTGTCCCAGCAGTGGGGAGTGCGTGCCGGAGGCATGGCGCTGTGATGGTGCTGCCGACTGCAGGGATGGCACAGACGAGCAGGTAGGTGGGGTGGTGGGGACACAGGCTGTCCTCGCTCGCTCCTGAGAGGGTGGGTGCCCCTCCTCACCCTCTGCTCTTGCAGGGCTGCCCCTGGGAGGAAGGGCTGTGTGGGGACCGGCAGTGGAGCTGCTCCCATGGCCATGAGTGCATCCCTGATGTGTGGCGCTGTGACGGAGAGAGCGACTGCACGGATGGCAGCGATGAGGCTGGCTGTGAGCAGCACCCTGCTTTTATCCCCTCTGCCTTGCTCAGGGGTGGCTGGTGGGTGCCCAGCACAGAGGGCGGTGGGGACATGTGCTGTCTGCCTCTTCCCACTGTCTGCAGTGGCTCCAGGCCCTGTGTAGCTGTTGTCCCTGTAGGGCTGGTGGCTTCAGGATTAGGATAGCCTCACGCCAGGCTGCAGGCACAGCTCTGGATGTGGCTGCAGGGAGCTCTGGGCACCCTGTGAGAGCAGCTGAATCTGCCCCAGCTGAGCAAAAGGAGCTGGTGGACGAGGCTCAGGGCAGCCTTCCCCATGTGTCCCTGCAGGCCTGCCTGCTCCCTGCCAGGGTCACGAGTACCCATGTGGGCTGGGGACCTGCCTGAATGCGTCCCTGGTGTGCGATGGCCGGCAGGACTGTGCGGATGGCTCAGACGAGGGGGGGAACTGCTCTGTGCCCTGCCAGCGGTCCTGTGCTCGTCTCTGCTACCCCTCGCCCCAGGGCCCTGTGAGTGCCAGCAGCCCTGGTCCAGGGGCTTACCCTGCCATGCTGCCCTGGTCCAGCAGCAGGACAGAGCCTCGTGTGTCCCTGAGGCGGAGGCCCTGACAGCCCCTTTCCCCACAGCGGTGCTGGTGTGACCCAGGCTATCGGCTCACTGAGGATGGTCTGTCCTGCATGGACATAGACGAGTGCACAGAGCAGGGCGAGGGAGCCTGCAGCCAGACATGCCTCAATGCCCCGGGGTCCTACAGCTGTGGCTGTCTCCCCGGCTACCTGCTGGAGCCTGATGGCCGTGTCTGCAAACTCACTGGTAAGCCCTGGGATGGCCAAGCAGTGCTGGGGGTCCCTGGCACTCTAGGGTACACCAGGAGCCAGGGAGCACCTGTGCCTGCTGCTCACCGGGAGCCTTGAGTCCAAGAATGGCCCTGTCCTCTCTGCCACATGGCCTCCCAGGCCCCACTCAGCTATGAGGTGCTGCTTGCTAGCCCGTGGCTAGTTGGAAAATCCATCTGCACTAGCTGGGGCATGTGCTGTGTGGCAGAGCTGAGTCCCAGCAGGCTCCAATGCCTGTGAGTGCCGTGTTCCCTGCCTGTGTGTGCTGGGGCCACGGGGCCACCAGCGCTGAGGGGCTGGGTGGCTCTGTTGTCCCAGGACCAGAGCCCATGTTGCTGGTGGCTGTGCAGTCAGAGGTGTTGTCCTATGGCCTGCGGAGTGGGCGTGAGGAGCTGCTGCTGGCCACTGACAAGGATCGCGTTATCTTCTCGCTCGACTATGACCTGGTGGAGAGGAAAGTCTTCTGGATGGACCTGGCCACAGAGAGCATCCGCTGGCAGGACCTCGACTCGGGCAAGAAAGGCACACTGGTGAAAGGTGGGCTGTGGCAGTGTGGGGTTAGCAGGGCTGACCTCTCCGTGGCTTTGCAATCTCCAGGTTGCAGTGGGGTGCCAGGCTGCGTCCTCTTGTGTGGAGAGGTGCTGGTGGGAACAGGGTTGGGAGGAGCCGGAGCTCCTGGGATGGAGGGGACCTGGGCTGGGAGCATTGTGCTAGAGGGCCACGCAGCTGTCACCCTACAGCTGCTGACTCTTGAGCGCGTTGCAGGTGTGAGATCAGACTGTATAGCAGTGGACTGGCTCGGGAGGAACCTGTACTGGACAGATGGGCATGTGCTGGCCACTCGCCTGGGGGCTGCCTGGCGAGGGATACCAGAGTACACTGTGGTGATGGATGGAGACCTGGACCAGCCCCACTCCCTGGTGCTCCAGCCTTTGGCAGGGTAAGGCTGGCATGAGAGGACATGGGGACCTCCTTGCCATCCCTTCCCTGCCCCGTTTTCCTCCACGGAGGCAGGCAACAGCCTGGGGAAGAGTTGGGATGGCCTCACCTGGGTGCTGTTGGGGCTGTGCAACTGGGGAAGGAGGCCAGGCACCTGCTCCTGCCCTGGGTGGAGCTCTTAGTGCGTTCCTGATGGGATGGGGAGCTTTGCACAGCTCCTCTGGGCTGCCCTGGTACTGGGATGATGCTGTGGCAGGTCTGTGGACCATTACCTCTCTTCCTGCCAGGGTGCTCTACTGGTCAGAGGTGGGGAGGCACCCACGGCTGATGGAAGCCACCATGGATGGGAGTTGGCGGCACGTGCTGCTGGCGCAGGGACTGGGCTGGCCCACAGCACTAGCCCTCGACCTCCCCACCTGGAGGATCTTCTGGCTGGATGAGAAGCTGGGCAGCATCGGTTCTGCACGTCTGGATGGCACCAGTGTGAAGGTGTGTGGTGGGGCTCTGGTGGTGGGGTCCTGAACGGGGGCCGGGGTGGATGCTCATGACCTCTCTGCCAGATCCTGCAGCTAGGCTGGGTCCGGAGCCCCTTCGCAGCAGCGGTGTGTGAGGGGCAGCTCTACTGGTCGGCGATGGCGGCATGGTCTGTGCAGCAGGTGGACAAGACCAGTGGCAAGAACAGGACTGTGCTGCTCAAGCGACACGGGCAGCCCCACGGCCTCCTGGTACGTAGCTGGGGGAGCCCCAAATCCTGCTATGCCAGCCGTGCTGGGGCTCCCACCCTGGACGGCCCTGCTGTCCTCTGAGTGTGGAGCCACTGGGAGTTTTACCCCC